GATTGTATCACGTTTAATTTAACTTTTTAATTCCCGACATTTCAGGTGCTTTACAGCACGCATGGTCACAGAGGGGACTGAGGTGTTTGACGTCCCTATGTCATAGTTGAACCACAAATCCTCGCAAAAGAACACCGATTCTAACCAAGGATGATTCGCGAGGCTATCGAAATTAAAACACATCCTAATTTCAATATAGAAGATGGATGGGTGCTGCCATTTGCTTGGCATCCTATAATTAATAAAATTAAATCCAAACCCAAGCATACCACTGTAAGACTTCAAGATACTGTAAGCTCATTCTGCGTAGATCGGACCAAAAATTAATATTCAAAAACTGAATTTAGCCAGGCTAAATATGACATCTGGCATCAAAGACCTCAGTTCCCCCCGTGACCATGGGTGCTGTGAAGCACCCGAAACGTCAGGAATTAAAAAGTTAAATTAAGCGTGATCAAATCCGTAAAAAATAATTTCATTTAATGTGTAGTCTTTGCGTAAATATTAGAAATCATTCAGAAACCATAATTTTACTAAACGATAGTTTTTTTTTAAACTAAGTTGGAACAAACAAAAAGTCTAAATATCATTATGCCACTAATGTTCCGTATCAATTACATTGGATAAAATGAAAATAAAATAAAAATATAATTATAAATAATCCGACGACAACCCTTTGATCTCAAAACTAAAATACAAGACAAATCATAATTCAAAGTAGTATAATTCAAAAATTAAGTTCTGATCACTGTGGACAAGTAGTTTCGTTACCTTATGTTCACAAAAAGCAAGTAGATGAGAAAGTTGTGTCTGTTCCAGTAAATGCACGTCGCTTGGAGAAATTTAGAAGTAACGTAGTGAAAAAACTTCCATCACTTTCATACCAAAATGATCCTAATTTTTTGTATGGAACATTATTTAAGCTTATTTGCAATGAATTTAATAATACTTTTACTTCTAAAACATTCTCCTTGAACAGTCGGAAGTTATTCAATGAATGGGCGACAGTAGGAGTCCATAAGAGCAGGCATAGGTTATATGATCTTTACCATGAAAGGTCATATAATCATAGCGTCGAATTTAGGGAATATGTAAAAAAATATTCAAAAATATTTAAAAGAGTGTGCTCCATAGCCAAGTCTTTGCATTTGAGCAACAAAATTAAGACGGCTTCCAATAAAATTAAAATGACATGGAGTATAATTAATAGCGAAACTGGTAAGATCAACTCTCGCAATTCAAATTACCAGTTAAGTGTTAACAACAAATTAACTGTATCAGATCAGGACGTAGCAATGGTTTTTGAGAAATATTTTACTGATATTCCGATCTTGACCACTAAGTCACTGAATTCTTCTCCTGCCGTCGCCGAATCATTACTTAAACAAAATGTAAATGTGTGTACAAAGAATTTTACATTTCATAAAGTGTCATCAAAAGATATTGTAAAATATTTTAAAACTATTGATGTTAAGAAAACTGCGGATCTGTGGGGGATTTCCGTTAAAGTTATTGCGTCTATAATAGATACAATCGCGCCTCATTTAGCTATTATTTTTAATACTAGTATCGAATCTGGTGTGTTTCCTGATTTAATGAAGCATAGTAAAGTAATACCTTTATTTAAATCTGGTAGTACATTAGACCCCGCCAATTTTAGACCTATTTCTGTACTACCAACACTTAGTAAGATTTTTGAAAAAATTGTTCTTGTTCAAATGTTAAATTTTTTTAATATAAATAATTTACTTCATAAAAATCAATTTGGTTTCACAAGGGGTCGCTCGACAACTGATGCCGGTGTTGAGCTGATTAAATATATCTTTAATGCATGGGAGAATTCACAGGATGCTTTGGGTATATTTTGTGACCTATCCAAGGCCTTCGATTGTGTTCACCATGAAACATTAATCAGGAAACTTCAACACTACGGTGTAAGAAGTGATGCCCTTAAATTAATTATTTCATATTTAAGTAAGAGAACGCAAAAAGTTGTCATTAACAATATGAGCTCTTCCGGATCGATGGTACAAATGGGCGTGCCTCAAGGCTCAATTCTCGGCCCCTTTCTGTTTCTTGTATACATTAATGACTTACCTTACATAGTAGGGGATAACCATGATATAGTATTATTTGCAGATGACACTTCTTTAATTTTCAAATTAAGTCGACAGTTACTAAAATATGACGAAGTAAATAATGCTATCTCTAAATTAGTAAATTGGTTCGATGTTAATAATTTGCATTTAAATGGCACTAAAACAAAATGTATGAAATTCGTGACTCCAAATGTCAAACAATTAAATACTAATGTAATTTTAAATGGGGAGAAACTGAGTCTTGTAGATACCACCATTTTTCTTGGAATCACACTAGACGCGAAGCTTCAATGGAGCCCCCATATATCAAAACTAGCAAGCAGACTTAGTTCTGCAGCATATGCTGTAAAAAAGATTAGAAGTTTAACCAGTGTTGAAACAGCTAGACTAGTTTACTTCAGCTACTTCCATAGCATAATGTCGTATGGTATTTTGCTATGGGGACACGCAGCTGACACTGAAATTATATTTGTTTTGCAGAAGAGGGCCATAAGAGCAATTTATGATTTAAAGCCTAAAGAGTCGCTGCGACAAAAATTTAAGGAAATTAATATATTAACTTTGGCCTCTCAATACATTTATGAAAATGTAATGTACGTACACAAAAATAAAAGTAGTTTTACAAAAATAAGTGATATTCATTCTGTAAATACTAGGAACAGACACAAGCTAGTAGTACCAGTTACTCGACTCCATCGAGTCAGTAATTCATTCTTGGGGCGATGTATACGCTTTTACAACAAAATTCCAGAAAATATACAAAGTTTGACCTGTTCAAAGTTCAAAAACTTTATTAAACTAAGTTTGTATAAAAAGGGTTATTATAATATTAAGGAATTTATGGATGATAATAACCCCTGGAAATGAGGTGATCGCTACCAAGCTATTTCTAATTTGTTGTGTTGTTAATTTGTGTAACATCATGATTTTAAGCTGTTATTTAAAAAAAAAGTCCCGCTGGGTTTCTTGCTGGTTCTTCCCAGGACAGAGGTTTTTTCCGAACCAGTGGTAATCAAACAAAAGAGTGACTTTCAATAAGTATTATTTATAATCTATATTGAATAAAAAAGTTTCTGTTTCTGTTTCTGTTTCTGTTTCAATCTTTTTTTAAACTTGTGTAAACAAAAAAAGTAAAAAAAAATATTGCCATGAATTTTCAGTTAAAGACTTTAAAAACAATCATTTCACCAAAATTCTTCTTCGTCTCTTTCCCAAAATACGGTTTCGTTTTTTCCTGACAATATTTCCCGCTTTCAAAAATATTCTTTCGGCTGGCGCGGAACTGGCCATCACTGAGAGGTGTTTAAAAGCCAAATCGGTTAGTTTAGGGAAAGTTCCTTCAGAGCTTCTCCATATATTGAGGGCATCTGCCTTGAGATTTGATAGTGGTGCCGCAATATATAGATCGAATTCAGTATTTTTGCCTATTGACGTGTTGGCCGCTATCATTTTTTCATTATAAAATACTTCTGTCAGTCACTTTTACGCGTTTCACAAGACATTTTTATTGTTTATATATAATTGTTTACACTAACTAAAGAAAGAAAGAAAACCACAGAATACTTTTACTCCTAGCGGAGGAAGAAACCTGTTGAAAACATACGAAAAGCGAAACTGTTTTACATACATAGAGATACATAAAGGTGGCGCTGTCTTTTGATTGACTTATTCATGTTATTGAACTTACTTCACGTTTTTACATCCATCGCACAGATGACTCTGATTACAAAAATCGATTGAAACGTGTAATTTACATAAAAATCGATTTATTAAAAATCGATTTTTATTATAAAAAAAACGACGTCGAAAAACGATTATAAGAAAAAAATAATAGATTAATATGAAAATCGATTATTTTTTCACATCCCTACTGACAGTTACTTACAAAATTGGTCTAATCCGATTCGCTTTCAGCCAAAACTGGTCAAATCCACACCTTGCAAACAAAAATAGTTAAATCCAGTTTTTAATAGTGTTTTTCTCCCTAAATACAAGCATTAACTCGATTTCTATTATCTTTCAATAATCCTGAACCCCACTGTAATCTATAGTTACCACTCTAAGCATCACTACGGAGGCCATCATGGCGGTACAAAGAAGTCGTGTTTTCTCAATTTGACATAAAGTGAACTTGACCACTGTTGAAAATTACTTCCTAATTTCAACTATAATTATAATTGTAAATAATTTTATGTTTTTTTACCAAAACAAAAACAATCGAACCGCGATTTTCAAGGGTGAAATATCGATTCTTCGATTAATCGGTCTCAGATCGGCATCCCTACTTTTTATTTTAATTAATTCCCTCGAAAAATATAAATAAAAATAAATGAATAAATAGATGTTGAAGTTGAAGGTAGGTGCTATACATTTTCCAGTACCTATCGAAATCTCCGATTTCTTATGTAGTAATTTGTCATTTGACTGAGAATTAGCGAAAAGGAAACAGCAAAACATGTAAGTCAGTCATGACATATACGCAGTATGATTTAATTTTTAAAGTTATATCATATTAACAGTGGTAGAGCCACGCGGCAGCTTTTGCTGTCGCACGGATGGGCCGGCTCGAACTGGGGTAGTACCACGACCTCACAGAAAACCAGCGTGAAGTAGAGGTTTACCTCTGCGTTTCGCTTGGTGAGTGCAGGTGGCCGGAGGCCCTTTTTACTGGTAATGAGGCATTCCATCTTAGTCCTCACGGGTGACAACGCATCTACATTTTGATTTGTAACAGATGATAGATGTAGATGTCTATAGGCCGCAGCAACCATTTACCATCAGGTGGACTGTGTGCTCGTTTGTCACCCTTATACTGTAAAAAAATAATATAGTTTTAGCGCTTCTCAATGATTAATGTCCAATTAGTTTTTATAGATATGTAACATAACTTATTAGTTCAACATGGCTACTAAGAGATCAAATCCATTCATCGAAGACTTCATGCCACAAAGCAAGGTTCATGTAGGATTGAAACAATTTAACAACAATGAAGACAGGCTGAAGAAAGTGTATGGTAAATATTATATTGTCCATTCAAATAAATTTGCTAGTATATTTTTTATGTAACCAAATAATGATGTCATTTCATACTGCTTTCAATTTGTTTAACAGTCTTCTGTACTTTTACTTCAATTAGCACTGGTAAGTCATTCCATCATGGTTCTCTGAACAATGTTGTCTGAAGAGTTCTTTTCTCTATAAAAATGTTCCCTCGCCTTTAGCCTCGTGGAATGTTTAGAGATAAGGGCATAAGATCTAACGGTATGTCTTTGGTTCTGACGGTTTGGGAGAGAGGTAAAGCTCTAGTGTAGGATACTATGTATGTAAACACACTTTGGCAGCCTCATCACAGGGGTACCTCATTGACAGCAGCTGTGGCATCAGAGGTAGCATAGTACTGATTTACCACATGCTCTGCAATGAACAAAATAAAAAAAAATTTGTAGATGTGAGATAGCCAATATACATTAAGGCAGGACGGTGAATATTTTCTTGCCCTTAAACCAGAAATAAAATAAGGCCTTTGCCCAGGAGTGGGATATGTATAGACTGTAACTTTACTTTTTCAACTTTGTACAGTGAAAGCTAGCTATTCTAAAAATATTAAGTAATACCCCCTAATTTAAAAATTATTGTAAACATACAGTTGTATAAAACAATATTAATATGAATTGTTCATATAAATTTCCAGAAAAAACATTGGATTTGCTCTTCAAAGGAGCAAAAAAGTCTTCAAATATTGATTTGATTAGTAATCAAACTATTGCTACAATTTATAAAAAAGATGGAATGAAACAGTTAGTCATCGGTAAAGATGGTTGTCTTCTTTCAAATTCAGATGAAATACAGGTAAGAAATTCAGATTATACTGATACTTACAATAAAAAAAGTAAACTTTTTTATGATATTTTACAAAATTTAATCAGAAACTATATAATTTTGATGTTTTACCGAAGATGTTTTATTTTATAGAATAAGGGTAACAAACAAGTACACAGTACACCTGATGGGAAGAGAATGCCGTGGCCAATAAACATCTACATTTATCCTTGATTAAGAATCCAATATGCAGATGCAATTACACCCCTACGAACTAGAATGCCACATATCCAGTAAAAATCTCTGGTTCTCTACACTCACCATATGAAACACAGCAGCATTAAGCTGCTAGTTTGTGAGGTTTTGGTCCTTCCCAGGTCGAGCCAACCCATTTGTACTACAACCATAGCTGCATTATGGCTCTACCATGTACTGTGTAGTTGCTTTTATTTGGACAAAGCTTAGCATTTAGTATATAAAAAAATACTCTGTGGCTAGCCAGCTAGCCTATAAAAAAGATATAGGTGTGTGTGAATATAATTCAGTCTTGTCATTATCAACATCTTTATTTAGTTTATTTGTTATAAAACAAGTGGCCCATAGACATCTACATGTATTCTCAATCAAAATCTCAAAGAATTAAAATACAGATGCGTTGTCACAATTGGTCGACTAAAATGAAATTATTCATCTACACTACTATTATAAAGAGGAAAGATTTGTTTGTTTGTTTGTTTGAATTGAATAGGCTCCGAAACTACTGGACCGATTTGAAAAATTCTTTCACCATTAGAATCCTATATTATCCTGGATGAACATAGGCTATATAATAGTTTCAAAAAGTTAGGGATTCGTATGAAAACTTTGTGAATGTAACCCAAGGTGTGAAAAAAATACTAAAAAGAATCCTTATATCACATACGCAGCGGAAACTATTGATAATAGAGCAAAGTAATGTACTTCAGTTTTATAAAGGATATCAATATCTACAAAAAAGTCTGCTATACCATATGTTTAACTATTACAGTTATGTCACAATAACTACTTTTTCATGTTAAAATGTGAAATAGTAACGCCGGTACAAACTAGGCCACATTGTTCATATCAGTACCTGTATCATGCATAACCACCTATTACGTTAACCATATAATTTTAGTAATATATTTCACTTTTTAAATCTTTGTTAATTCAGCAACCGTCCGTCGTGATATCTCTTTCGAAGTTCGCATGTCGCAAGGCGCAGACGCGTGATATACGCAGGTGAAACCGCGGGGCACAGCTAGTATCTAGTAAAAAGGGTTTTCGGTGGCACTAAAGATGGAGACAGTACAATTATTTAATTTCAGAGATATGCATCACATGCACGTTTGCACACACACGTACACACACTACACTCAAACTGTGAACCTTAAATCATCAAATGTCAAATTTTGACTTTATAACATACCCATTATGACTACAACAAATCCCAATTGAGAAGCTAATTTTCACCTAAAAATTGCTTTTTAACTGGTTATGTGTCATCCATGGTTTTTGTCTGTGGCGCTTGACACGCCCGGCGTGTCATGAAATATTTGTTAATTTAGCTAAAAGTTGTCGAAAATTGGTGCTGCAACAAATCGGTTAATATCCTTAGATTATCTATTATATGGCCGAATAGACCTACGAAGTACCATGTGCTCTTGTGATATGGTATAAGGTTTATTTTTGCTTGCAACAGTTCAAAACCATTCATGCATAAAAAAGTTCGCTAATAAATAGTCTTTTGTCGGTGTTTTTTTCCTTTTGAATACACTTGTTTTGCTATTCTTACTAATTAGACGTTTTCAGATCGACTTTACTTTTACATCTGTATAACATTAAATAATATAGTACAAAGTAAAATAGTACAAAAGGTTTGTAATCTCTGCCTAAAAAAAGTCACTTACTCTCAATTTCAAAGAAAACACGTAGAAAAACATGTAGTTACCTACTAAAAACAAGTATCCTTCCGTTAGTAACTGATGGTTGATGTCAACTAAACTTAATTAGGTCTAAACAAGTGAAAAAAGCATAAAAAAGAAAATTATTTTTACACATGGCTGATGGCACAATAGGTGTTTCATCAAATATTTGTTCGCCGCCACAGCTAAAAGTTGTCGAAAATCGGTTAACAAGCCTCACCACAAGATGTAATAAATGAAATACACAGACACATTCACAATTAGACACAGTATCTGAGATCATAAGACAACTTAACTAACTTATTATGATGGGCATTTCTTTTAGGTTCAAGCACAGCCAACACCAATGAGCCAGTGCAGCTGTGGCAATACAAAAACTGAAGGGAACTGTACATACTGTGAAAGAGGGCTTTGTATTACGTGTCAGCATTTTTGTGCCCGCTGTGAGAAGTATTACTGTTCACAATGTTCTCTTATTGGGTGAGCTTTGTACTTTTTCATTGTTTTATACCAGTTTATTATTACCAGCATCTGTTAGTTATGTAATAAATATTAGAGGATCCACTATCCCATATTATCCCATGGGTGTTGTAACTTGTAAGAGGCGATGAAGGTATACTGAAATAAGACAGGTATTTGTGTAAAACATCCACTTACCATGAGGTGAACTGTGTGCTCACTTGTTATCTAACTCAGGGGTAAAGGCAATGTCACACCAATGTAAGGTGCATCTCTTTGAGTAAGGATGGTGCGGTAATAAAGTAATATGAATGAGGCACTTGTTGCTATGAACTCCTTACTTTTTTTAATTCAGTATAATTTTAAAATGTAAATAAATTCAGTATGATTTTGAAATATATTTGAAACACTGTCTGCAGCCAAAGTAATAAAATCTCTAGTTTAATAAAATCAATTAGATATTTAAAAAAATCTATATTTTTGTTTCAGGTCTGAAGGCTCAGAAATATGTGTTTCTTGTTATGGTTAGCTCTTTTAAAAGTTGACATTATTCGTGTTACTACAAAACGCGTCTTTGTGATAATTGACATTGGCTGTCAAATTCCATATATTTTGGTTCATTCATTTTATGGAGTGTAGAGTAGAAGGAGAACTATCTTATAAGGTGCGAAAGTTGAAAGTGTCCCACTGAAAATAAAGGTTCCAAAACCTACCACAATAGCGCTGGCGTCTGAAAAACTACGATATGAATATAGCTGTTGTTGACGGAGTGAAGTCAGCTGAATTCAAATATTTAAAAAATTTCATGATAAAGTAGTTAGTAAAGTGCCAGTATACAAAACCTCAACTATTTACGTAGTACAAAACTAAGCGGATTGGTCGGTCCTTGTTTATTTCTCCATCTTATTCTAATTAATTTATTTTGGCACTTTTTTTTTAAATTTATCCTATGCTACTGCAGCGCCACCCTTATTGGACGCGTTTTTAGGGACACTTTTCATATACAGAGATGGTCCTCCTTCTACTCTACACTTCATTTCCCGCGGGACGTGAAAGCGTGAAACAGTAATTAGTTTAAACCTGAGAACAATAAATACGTGTTTTGTAATAGGGCCGACATTGTTTTAAGTTTCTCATTAGGACTACACATCGTGATATGGTTGTTGCAATGTTAATATATAGTACAGTTGTAAAATATTTAATTGGTAAAATTAATTAATTATAATTGTTAAAACCGGGGATTGAAATGTACCGACGTTTAGAACTGGTTTTTAAATCCCTGGTCAAAAAACAACACAGAATTGTTAAAACTTGAAAGCTAATGCATGTAATGTTGAATGTTTATCAAGTTTTTATAAGGCTCTAAGCCGAAATGTGTCTTAAAAATAAGGAAGAAAATAAAAATACTATTTTATTTATAATGTTGTTTATATCAAATACATTTTGGATAAAAAGTAACATCTATTGAATTGCAGTTAAACGGCCTATTTAATAGTCGTAAAATGCTCAATTCGAAAATAAAATACATAAAAGCGATTGGTATTAACACAAAAATGCTGTTAATTTTAATCAAAAATAAAGTAGACTCATGAATTTATCTACACATCATCACCTCTGCTTTAAAGTAGTTGAAAACTGTACATGGTGCTAAGAATAAAGATTTTAGATAAATACATTTAATGTAACAATTTTATATGTAATAGAATTTTAATCTTTTAAATCAACATGAAGGCGCCCACCAGACAAGTCAATTTAGTCAATATGATGTATAGAAAAAACTAAAACCGTACATGTACTCAACTGATTTCTTTTATTTGGCCACACATGCACAGTGTAAAGAGCACTGAACAATATAAATACGCACTATACTTTGTGCAAAAGAATACACTGACATAACTTTATAGGTATTAAATATAAATATTTTTAATTGACTGTGTCACACATAGCTGAGTTACCATCTAACAAAATCAGCACCCTGAATACCCTTATTACGAAAACATTTTACACTATTTATATAAAAATAAAACCCAAAATTACAATTTTATTTATAACTTCCCTTAAATATACTAAAAAAGCCTAACTTAATAATTAAGGAACAATACTTAAAGTAAGTTGTAAACATTCTAAGATATAATTATGATTGGGTGAAATTTACGGCTCGACTGGTAGAGGGTAGAGAACGCCTAAAAGTTTTAAGTCCATCCTTTGTATAATTTCTAACAGGGTGAGTAATAAAATATAAATTAACAAATTCAGTAGGTGTGCTATTGAATTTCAAGAATTGCCTTCGAGATTATGATAAAGATAAAAATAATAAATGATTTAAAAAAATCTATGTACACATTAAGATGGAAACAACGACAAATGAAACCTTTGAAATCTTTATGATTGAATTAACACAAAACTATGCTATTTATTTTTATTTCTTGTGTACTTAAAAAAATAATTGCGTATAAATTTGCTTACGATAATTCACTGTAAGGATTTTTCATAACAGATGAAACTTTAAAAATGAATAATATTAAATACTTAAGATGTGACAATAATTATTTGTCACATTTGCAACGCATGTTAACTGATTGCATAACAAACATGTTTTAACACCAACATAACTAAAGGTGCACAGCACAATCCGTAAATGTATAATATTACGGTGAGAATACAAAATATAAAGTAGGTGTACACAAACATTCTAGTTTCTTAATAATTATTATAAACATTAAAAAAAAATATTCAAGCAAACAGTGGATGGAACATCGAAAGACCTTTCCTTGCTATACCCTGTACATAAGGTATATTCCCTTTTATTTTCAAAATAGCATTATAAAATGAATATGGCCATTATACGTATTAATGTATATTACAAATATTAATGCAGTTTAAGCCAAATAGCAAGCTTAAAATTCAATTTTTAAAGGAATGTTTGACATGTCATTTATTTTTATAAATATAAATTAATAATGGGGCATTGCCTGATCTCATATGATTTTATATAAATTAAATTGTAATCAAGTATTTATTGTACATCTATGGTCAAATGAGGTATTATTTACTTGGCAATATTTTGTCACTTAAGCTAAGGCCTGGCTAAGCCCCTTTATATACCCACATTACCAAAAGTCAAAGGGAGTGTCACTCCTATATTCCATTTCGTTCAATCTCAACACCAATATCACCATGTTTTTCATGTCAAGGCACTATTCATCTTTGCTCTACCCATTGCTTTTACTTACATACAATCTTCCACTACCCCACATTGAATTAACATTGACAAAAATACATCCTAATGATGTAACAAACTTTACACCACTAGTAAATTAAATTTAGTTTATTAGCTATGTATATCAATCATGGTATAGCTTTGCTATTTGTAACAAATGATATAATAAAGCTATTTACAGTAGCGTAGACTTGAAGCGTACATAGCGAGGACGCAACGCCGGCCACTACGCGAACAGGTACCGGTACAGGATCGTAGCAGCCACGGCTAGCACTATTGGCACCATCCACGCACGCATACTGTAGATAAAACAATAACCAGGTAAAAAGTTGATTTACAGCTAAGGCATAGCTCACCACAGGGCACAGGGTTCCACCCACTTTTAGAAATGCATCCATCCGTCCATTACAGCCTATAAAAGTCCACTGATGAACAGAGGCCTCCCCCATAGATAGCCTCATATATTATTACATTTACAGACAACATAATACAGATTTCACCGTAGTTAGTACGCTTGGCAGACGGATTGACAACCGTATTTTTTTATTATTATTTGGAAGTGTTATCAGGAAATGCTCCTGCCCATCACCTGATTCAATTTCCTTCTGTCACTTCTTACAACACCCACAATATGGAGTAGTAGATATTCTTATACGGATACTACACGGTATACTTTTAGGATCAATTAAGCAATAATGTAGCAATTGTTCCATTTTAAGAATTCAGCTCAATAGGTTTTAGATTTACATGACAAATGTCTAAAATTCTAATAATATTCCTCTAGTAACACAGCAATTTACGTTGACATAAGAATCTTCGTACCCTACTATTTTTACTCACAGTTAAAGTGAAAAAAGCATCTGCATTTTGATTCTTAATCGAGGAAAAACGTACACATACACACACACACGCACGCACGCACGCACGTACGTACGCACACACGCACGCACGCACGCACGCAAGCCCGCCCGTGTGAAATTTATGTATGTAAACTGCCCCCTTCGATACAAGAGAAAATCCTAGTGCAGAGGTAATGTTTTATTACAATAGGAAAGATTCTACAAAAAGAAATCTATCATATCGCTCCTAATGTGGACAACTTACAAAAAATGCTACAGTCCTCGACCATAGATGGTGTATTGACAAATGCTAGATATAGGCAACAGCGCGATAGAATGCCGCAAGTAAAAAAAGTTAGAAAAGTTTTTTCGTGGTAGATCCAGTAGGGTCGGCTCGACCGGGGAAGGACCAAGCTCTCACATAATACCAGCGTAAAATAGCAGCTTAACACTGCTGTGTTTCGTATGGTGAGTGTAGAAAACCGGAGACCCATTTTTACTGGAAACGAGGCATTCCATCTTAGTCTTCAAGGGGTGACAACGCATCTGCATTTTGATTCTTAATCGAGGATAAATGTAGATGTCAATGGGCAAAAGCATCCATTTACCATCAGGTGGACTATGTGGTCGTTTATTATTTTTATTCAATTAAAAAAAAGTCAGCGGTGCGACCCCGCCAATCGCGGAAGATGGAGAGTAGCGCCTCGATATACCAACACTTGACCTCGGTCGAGCTGACCCATTCGTGGTACAACTATAATATAGTATACCTCAAAACTTAAAAACGAGACTGTACAACCAGTGCGTGTTTCCAGTGATGACATACGGAACTGAGACGTGGTCCTTCACTGCTGGCCGGATGAGGAAGCTCAAGGTCACTCAACGAGCTATGGAGAGGGCTATGCTCGTAGTTTCTCTGCGTGATAAACTTAGAAATGAGGATATCCGCAGTTGAACCAGAGTGACCGACATAGCCCAACGGATTAGTAAGCTGAAGTGGCAATGGGCCGGCCATATAGCTCAAAGAACCGACATCCGATGGGGAAAAAAAGGTTCTCGAGTGGCGGCCTCGTACCGGCGGACGAAGTGTAGGGCGTCCCCTCACTAGATGGAGTGACGACCTGGTAAGACATGCAGGAAGTCGATGGATGCAGGTGGCTCAGGACCGTGCTTTGTGGCATTCCTTGGGGGCGGCCTATGTTCAGCAGTGGACTTGTGAAGGGCTGTAATGATGATGATGATGATATAATATAGCTGCAGCATGGCTCTACCATGCATGATGTGGCCACGGGTGGAATGGAGAGTGCGAGATAAGATTCAGCGTTCTCTCTAAATTCTGCAGCGAAGACGTGGTCGGCTAGCACGTCTTTCGGCTGACCTGGGCCCGCCGATTTGTGCGAGATGGTTCCACATTTTCCGCATACTGCCACCATAAATTGTTAGTAGTCATAATAGTTATATTTGCGTACAATTACCTATAAAACGTACCCAAGCTCTAACTATACCCAGATCTAACACTAATTATCGTCGCAATTCTTTTTTTCGCGCATGTAACTTGTTTCACAATCTCTCATTAGGTAACAGCAACTTGGAATTATTTCGTATTTATTATCAGGTATACTTCAAATATGAACAAGCTGTTTGCCTCAGTTTTTCGGTACCCACTCCATGCGTGCCACAGTTGATAGATGTAGATGTCTATAAGTCAAGGCAACCACTTACCATTAGGTGGACTGTGCTCGTTTGTCATCCTATCCTATAAAAAAATCCTTTTGACGAAAAGTTCACCACAGTTCCAACTAGCGACATCTGGTGAACGGATAATTATTAGCAATCTTTCAATTAACGGTTTCTTGGAATAAAACGAATTTTACGGATTTTATCGCATTTAATTTTAACTTTTTTAATTTCCGACGTTTCGGGCACTTTACAGCACTCATGGTCACGGCATGGACTGAGGTGTTTGACGTCCTAATGTCTTAGTCAAGGAAGGCTACAATCATCTTTTATACGTGGTAGAGCCACACTGTAGCTATATAAATGTTGTAGCACGAGACTCGGCTCGATCGGGGTAGGACCACGCTCTCACAGAATACCAGCTTAAAATAGCAGCAGCTTAATGCTCCTGTGCTTCGTTTTTTTATAGGGTGAGTGTGACAAACAGCATGCAGTCCACCTGATGGTAAGTGGTTGCTGTGGTCCATAGACATCTACACCTATCTTCGATTACGAATCAAAATGCAGATGCTGATGTTGATGCAGGGGTAAATATAAGAAATCAAGTGATTTCTGGACATTCTTCATCCGTACAGACTGTGCAGACAAAATATAATATTGATAACAATTTATTTTTTATTTCTTGCACACAATGGATTTGAAGTCAGTGCGCAATACCAGGCAGTTTAACAGTCATAAATTAAATAGCTAACTCACACAACACACACATGTATGGAAAACTGGCTCAACTATGCAAGCTAAGATAAACTAAGTTAGTTTAGTTTGCGGTGGACGTTCCGCTTAATCGTGCACGCATATAATTACGCATATGCGAACAAATATTAAATGTTTATGTAGTTAAATGTTTGTATAGTGTACATGCAGCATGAAAATTAATTAATAATCCATCAAACTCGAATTAAATTATGTTAAATTATTTATACTTTTAGTCTTTAACATTCTAATAAGCCGCTTTCTTCCCTAAAGTCATTGAATTGGGACTTTTTTTTAAGAAAATAAATCTTTGAAAAAAATTGTGGATGTTTCAAATGACAAGCCGTAAGTTGCAATATTTGCTTTATTGATCCACTATACAATCACAGAAATATATGTTTACATAAATAGAAATTAACAGCACCGAAGAACAGGGTATCACCCTTATTAATATAACTCTAATATAAACATATTTGTATTTATAAAGCCAATATTATTGTGCTTAATTATGATAAAGCCAAAGACGATATTCTATACTAGATCTAACTACATATCAAATTGCAATTCTAACAGGTTTTAAATCTCTCTCTACAAGATTGTGTGTAAATTAAAAAAGCGTTCTATTCTATATATATATAATGAGATAAAAACATTTGAATAGCAACTATAACAAATGATAACATTATATAATTATGACAAGGTTTAACGATTACTTAATATAAAGTGAACTAGCACAAGGTCAAGCGAAATACTAACAAGGAACAGATCTTTGAAATCACAATTATGATTAGACTTTGGTCATGCTTTAAGTACAGTGGGTAAGGAAAGCCTCAGATTACAGTCCAAATAATCCATGTGTTATACCATTAGTATAAATGAAAACATTTAGAAAATTTGTATAAGATGGAACGTGATCACCATTTCCACTTACAAATGCTAGTAATGGACACATTTGCATTTGAATAAAACTTAGTACTTATTACTATTGCCTGAATGTATAACACATTTTTTTTTGGAATATTATTAATATTAATGCCATTTTAAAGGAACAATAAAACCCAATAATCCCACCTATAATTAATAAATATGCTAATTTGTAAATTACTATAAAAAATAAAATTTTATAAAAGCAATTATTATATACTTAATGATAATTCTAACGATTATTATTACAAAGCATAAGGAATTATGTATAACAAGACAAGTGTGATGTTTAGATAATACAAGATAAAGTATGGGACACTCATGTGCTGCCTACTAGGTTCAGATTTTCATTATTTGTGTTCAGACGTTTCATAAGTCGACATGAACAATAAACTGTTAGGGTTGTCACAACGGCACGTAAAAAAAATAACAAACTGATTCCATTTTATTTCACGTTTAAACAAATTCCTGTGTATGTGGAAACTGATGAAACTTTAATTCTTTATCTTTAAATGAGGACTACCCACAGTTTTTACAGCACATGTAGTGTGAACCATTTTAATTTATTTGCGTGACAGGACAAACCTAGCGGACACGGCCCCTAGCCGCTCGGGAACTGTCCGCCCGAAGATTTAGAATATTTTAATTTCAATATACACATTGTTTAATATACCGACATGGAATTGTCCTTGATATAGACTCAAACTTGAACAATACATTTATTGGTAGAATAAGTAGGCATGGTTAATACCACTCTTACCATATTTTGAATCGTATCTATGTATTCCATATGAATATCTGATATTGAATCTATATATTTCAATATCTATATATCGGTTGATATCTACTGGACTCTATAACTGTAAGGAAGTCGGTATTCAGTACTACATTGGTGATTTTTGATGGATTTGGTTTGCTTCGATTTGTGGATATACTGTAATATCTAAGTATTGTTAATATCTATGATACTCTAAAATGAGTATATCTTACAACGATGAGTCGAAGTAGATATATTATATATTTTACTCAAATATAATATCTTGCATTCAGTGCATCATAACATTGATATATTAGGACAACATAATTTCTTCGAGTTCGATGTTAGACGTTCTGTGAAGTAACGCTGTACTGCAGTGGTATCTGATACATATTTAGGCTATCGCCCGAGATATTGGATATTGTACCTACCGATATATAGATATTAAATCTATATACGATTTGTATCGCCCACCCATAATTTCATAATAATATATCAAAATCAAAACTAGCATCCATGTGTAAGGAAGGGGATCCGATCGAAGGAATTATCAATCCCGCTCCAAGAGATCGTGATTGAGCCGTGTTATAATTTAATAAGCCCACTTATCAATTGGCTTCATAGTAAAGAGCGGGAAAATGAAAATAAGACTGTCCGATTGTCATTCACGTAGGCCTTGATTGGAAACACTGGTTAGTAACGAAAGTAAAAAATAAGTATGTACATGCGAAATTTAAAATGCGCCTCTGTGATAGCTGCGATTGTAGATGACTTTTTTTTTAATAAAACCGAGATAAAGCAGAGTAATTCTAGTGAGAATCGTGATATTTGAATTTCAACAACAGCATCAACTACAAATAAGAACCACACAGGTACCAGGTACCAGATCCCAAAAATACCCTATAAAAGAGTCATCGAAATCGGTCAAGCCGTTTACGAGGAGAAGAATCACCAACACATGCACACTGGGATTATATATAAAGACTAGCTGTTCCCCGCGACTTCGCCCGCGTGGAACTTATTACCATTGAATTTCATGGGTTTTAATTTTTTTTGTGCGGACAAAGAAGAGGGCTTTGTCTAAAATAAAAGTAGCCTAAATTACTCCTTAAGACATTAGTTATCTGCCAGTAAGTCCCGTCAAAATCGGTCCAACCATTTCGAACAATTAGACAAAAATTTTAAAAATAGTTTTTTTTTGTTATAAGTACCGTATATACTTTCATATGCGTTTAGCAAAAAGCTGTTTTTTTTTGACATACAAACAGACGCTTTAATTTTATTTATTTGTATAAATATTATATTATGTTACAAAATATTATCATAAAGAGAGAACATAATGCGTGTTTCAATGCAGTTGCAAAGTGTTTCTTTACAGAGTTACTCAATTACACAATAGATGAAGATCGGACTAAGATCGTAGCGTGTGAACGTGTTTGTGGTGTACGTATGTGGTGACGAGATGACAAGGTGACTAGGTGACTAGGCGACTACGCACTTGCCCATCTCCTGAGCTTCATCGTTGCTCCACTGCGGCGCGTAGGCCCCCTTTGTCTGAGTGCGATCCGCCTCCACCAGCTCGCCGATTTTGTACTTCTGCATCAGGGATCTGCGAAATGTAGGTTTGTATTTATCAATAATATTATATAAGCAAATGACATTTATGGGATAAATGACCAAATACTCGAACGCTGCGCAATTTTTAGATGTCATTAAGTCTTGTCCTGTCTCTATTTCTATCACTAAGTCAAAGTGGTACCACGAGACCTAAGTCTACGTTTTACAATGTGTATTACAATCATATATTTTAAAATCGTACGAGAACTTGAGTAAAATAAACTTTTGATAATAAGTAAAGGCAGTCTTCAAATAGCTTATTACGTGGTAGAGAGCTATATTATGGTTGTAGCACGAATGGTTCGGCTCGACCGGTGAAGGAGCACACTCTTACAGAATACCAGCGTAAATTAGCAGCTCAATATTGCTGTGTTTCATTAGGTGAATGTAGAGAACCAGAGACCCTATTTACTGGAAATTACGCATTCCGTTTTAGTTGTCAGAGATGACAAAGCATCTGCGTTTTGATTCATAATCGAGGATAGACTTAGATGTCTATGGGCACACAGCATCAGGTGGACTGTGAGCTCGTTCTTCACATTTATTCTATAAAAAAAAAAACATCAAATGACCGTTAACCTTTTTCTATACACGCTAATAGTATAGTTTATTCATCATCATCATTCGTCCGCCGGTACGAGGCCGCCACTCGAGAACCTATATATATATATATAATCCGGCTCAAGGGACCAAGTCCAACACTTAAATTTTAATGCATTTCTCGCCGTTGTCTACTTTCATGAGAAAAGCTTTAGCATAGTTGAAAATATTGTTTTAACAAAAATAAAAAGACAATTTAGAAAGTTTTTTTTTATAAGAGAAAATCTTTGAGTAATCTGTATTTTAATATTTCAGAGTGAATGAAGTACAATGATGAACTTTTAAACGAGTCCTTTTAAGCTGACAATGAAAAGTTAGCAGAAACAATAAATATTGGCATTTGTAACTAAAAAGTTTAAAAAGTTTTGTATGTAGTTCAAACCAGTTTCACAAAAAACAGGTTTCATTCCTTGCAGTAAAAAACTAGAAATAAATAACAATTGCTTCAACTGTTCAGGTCAAACTTTTTTCCTAAATTGTTACTGTGTACGAATAATTAAGAAAGTCTAAGAGTCAGCTCGACCGGTGTTTCATACTTGCGATGGGCAATAATTAAATGATGAATGAATATGTGCATTATTTGGATATTTCAAATAATGTAACCAACAGTGATAACGTACGAGGTTGCGTACGAATTTATAGATGATCATTTATTGGTAAGAATGCTTGGACATAATGAGCTTTCTTAGATTTTCTTATTTGTTTGTATATATTACACTACCTGGCATCGGAGCTGTGACTGACATCTTCGAAAGGTTCAGTGGCCTCCTTTCCTGCATTCTCCAGGAGCACCTCTTCACCACCAGGATGCTGTTGAGAATAATAACTTTTATTCGATATGTATTATATTGTAAATGCGATAATTAACTTATTATATAATACTAATTTATCAAAATAGGAGATTCGTGGAAAACGTCTTTTCGTTCATAAAATATCATCGCCATGATTGATAGTAAGGGTTATAATTAAGCTGCCCTGTCGCAACTCATACATTGTTAACTATGACAGTCTCATTTGTCTAGTGGTCGTTGCGGTTACTGGTCATGAGGTTCCGGGTTCAAATCCCGGGTCTAACCAAAATAAGTTATTGGGTTTTTCTGTCAAAAAATTTTCAGTAACAGCCTGGAATCAGGATGTTGGCGGTATTTCACCCTGTGCCTCGGAAAACACGTAAAGCCAATAGTCCTGCGCTTGATTGATCTGCAGTTGTTTCGGATAACCGAGCCATCCAACTATGAGACTTAGGGAATAAAGAGTGCACCTGTGCTTGCGCATACACTCGTGCATTATAATCCTGTCCTGCGCACATGGCTAGTCTCCGCTGAGGCTGGCCACCTTGACCGAAATTCAGTCTGGAGGTCATTATCTCAATTCAGAAACTACTCAAAACTTTTTTATTTATATTAATAAATAACTAACGGAGTTTACATACATAAACCCAAGACATAATCTGAAACTTAAGGCGAGCGTTTCCTAGGTTAAAAATCTTTTGGCGCTCCCTTTTCCGCTGCATGAATATTTGTCCAGCACTTTGAAACTTTTGCCTATGATCGGGAAATAACAATGTAGCCGATTAAGAATCCAATTCAAATATCAAGCCTTTCATATTATCTCAAAATATTAAATGGTTATCGTTTAAAAAACGAGAACTCGTACGTCAATGGTTTTCCCGACGATTAAATTATAAATGTTATATCTCGATTAATATAAAATATTATAAAAACCCATTTGATTAAGAATTAAATGGAGTATTTTATACATGTGCGCATAATTTTTCGAGCATATGACCCGTCTACTAAACGTGGCAATTTTGGCAAAATGCCGCCTAAGAGGCAATCTATGGGGAAGGCCAATGTACAGCAGTGGACTTTTATAGGCTTTAATGAATGTATGGATGGATATACTATTCCAATAAGTATCAATACTTAAGCATCAAAACCGTGTCTGAAATATGATATTTTCGTCCAAACTGGCCTTAAGTCTTCACGAGCAAATACTACGGATTATTAATTTATTTATTGATTGCGATCTATATTAATGGTTCTGGGAGCTAACCTTATCATTTAAAACGATATAAACAACATAATGCTGTATTTTTATAACCTCATAATAAAGGTCAAAATCTCTTTAACACACAAGATATCTGAACGTTTTCTATTGGTATATGAATAAAACATCTCCCGAGTGAATCGTGTGCCCAACAAACACGTGCACGTGCGACCAAGAAGAACCGACGTGGACAGACTTACTAGTATATATAACAATCGTTTATTAAATACTATACCGTCCATTTACGACAAATAATGCTACTGTAAAATCATAAGACCGTGCAGCCAACTTGATCATAGAAGGTTACAGATGCGTTGTCACGTCTGACTGCTAAGATGGAATGCCCGCAATTATTTATTTATTTTATTAGGTTCTCACAACAATGAGTATACTGTTACATACATATGGAATGACATCACAATTATTATAACTAAATGTCCCATTTTTTTTTGTTATAGGATAAGGGTGACAAACGAGCACACAGTCCACTTGATGGTAAGTGGTTGCTGCGGCCCATAGACATCTACATCTATCCTCTATTACAAATCAAAATGTAGATGCGTTGTCACCCGTGAGGACTAAGATGGAATGCCTCATTTCCAGTAAAAAGGGCCTCCGGCCACCTGCACTCACCAAGCGAAACGCAGAGGTAAACCTCTACTTCACGCTGGTTTTCTGTGAGGTCGTGGTAGCACCCCGGTTCGAGCCGGCCCATCCGTGTGACAGCAAAAGCTGCCGTGTGGCTCTACCACAGTTTATACCCATTATTTACAGGAGGGCACCACAAGCATAAAAAAAGAACTTTACGTTGATTTCACAACAATACATAGGCTGCACTAAAAGTATCGGGAATGGAATATTTCCACTGTTCCTGTCATATTAAAATCTTTTTAATTGAAAACTCCTTGGTTTTAAAAATCGAATAAGCGTTTTGTCAAACTTGTTTAGTCGTTGAGAAATTGACTCGAGAAAATTAAAGAGCGAGATTTATTATGACTTTCGAAGTGGTTTAACACAAAAACAGTGTGTTGACCGGATGATATCTGCATTTGGTGATGAAGCCCCATCCAAAACCACAATTTATCGCTGGTTTGCTGAATTTCCACGTGGACCTGTCAAGCTCAGTGATGATCCCCGTTAAGGCCGTCCAAAAACTGCAGTCACCCAAGAAAACGTTAATGCTGTGCGTAAGCTGATTGAGGAAGATCGACATGTGACATACCGCGAAATTCAGGCAACTTTAGACATTAGCATGAGTCAAATACAAATAATCTTGCATGTACAATTAGGTGTAAAAAAGTTGTTTTCCTGATGGATACCGCATTCGCTCTGTGAAGGGCAAAAAGCGGCTCGCGTTACTTGGTGCGTCAGAACTCTCGAAAGATTCCACGCAGGATCCTCAAATGCTGTATACAACATCGTATAAGGTGACGAATCCTGGATATATGCGTACGAACCCGAAACAAAAAACCATTCACGAGTTTGGGTGTCCATCCTCCATCACGACAATGCGAGTTCTCACACCGCACACAGAACAAAAGAGTTTTTAGAGCAAGAAAACATAGAATTATTAGACCATCTGCCGTACAGCCCCGACCTAGGCCCTAATGATTTCTATACTTTCCCTAAAATAAAGAATAAATTGCGTGGACAGAGATTTGCTATCACCTGAAGAAGCTGTGGACGTCTACAAATCGGCCATTTTGGAGACCCCAACTTCCGAATGGAATTGTTGCTTCAATAATTGGTTCCATCGTATGGAAAAATGTGTCAAATTTCGCGGAGAATACTTCGAAAAGCAATAAATACATTTTTAAATAGTAATGTTGTGTCACTTCCTTGATTCCCGAAATTTTCAGTGCCGCCCTCGTACATAGGTACAATTTAACTGTAATAAAATTTTAATTTAAATTAATAATGAAGAAACTTCCGTTAGTACATAATTTTTAATTTAATTAATTTATTTAATTAATAAGCCTTAATTTTTTAATGCCAGCCATCAAGGTTGAGAATAGATGTATTGTGCTTTGGTATTCTTTATATAATGCAAACATTCTTGTTAAGGAACAATGTGATCTTAAATTAGTTGGACCTTGAGGCGCAACAAATAATTTGCTGTTACACAATCTAGGCAACCGATACTAGCCTATATTCTATACAGGTTCAGATCGGTACACAGCAGTGCCACCACTGCTGTGTGGCGGCGGAAACAGGCAAGTGGGTGGTACCTACCCAGATACCAGAGGCACTACTAAACAGGAAGGAGTCCTACTGCCTAGTAAAAAGGATACTGCTCTTCGATGCCGGTATACAGGCCGAATACTCAAACGCTGCACAACTTTAAGACGCCCTTAAGCCTCGTGCTGTCTCTACCACTCGAAGTGACTGTGACACCACGAGACTTAACGACATCTTAAAATTCAGTAGCGTCTTTGACCACCATTTACTTCGACTTGGTGATAGAGACACTAAGTCGAAGTGACTGTGCGAGTCTGTGTGAGAAGCGTTTGATTATTTGGCCATAGGTGCTTTGTACGTGATTTTTTAGGTGGTAAAGCCATGTGGCAATTATATTACGATTGTAGCACGAATGGGTCGGCTTGACCGGGGAAGGGCAACGCTCACACAGAATCATCATCATCATCATTACCATCATTACAGTCCTTCAGAAGTCTACTGTTAAATATAGGCCTTTCCCAAGGTATAGGCCTAAGTTATGAGGCCTATGTTCACAGAGAGCACAGAATATCGGCGTAAAATAGCAGCCCAATGCTGCTGTGTTTCGTATGGTATGGAACCGGAGACCCCTTTTACCGGATACGAGGTATTCCATCTTAGTCGTCAGGGGTGACAACACATCTGCATTTTGATTCTTAATCGAGGATAGAAGTAGATGTCTTTGGGCCACAGCGCAACCGCTTACCATCAGGTGGACTGTGTGCTCGTTTGTCACCCTATACTATAAAAAAAATCATTCTTATTTCTTTTACATTAGGTCTCCTACAAGAACTTTGTTACTTACTGAAATTACTATTTTCGATTTCCTTTCTATTTATTCCTTTACAACCTATCAAAAGTCCCTTTACAGGCTGCCACCATCATTTGCCATAGTTGCTACGCTTAGCAAGCGGATCGGCAAGCAACCGCAGTTTTATATTTTTATTCATCTGTTATCAGGAAGGTGCTGCTGCCTATCTCCTGATTCAGTTCCCCTCTTCCCCTTTTATGACACCAACGGAGGTTGATTTCTGGCCGAGGCCAAAGTTGAGAGCTTAAAATCCTATGAAATTGATGCGTTATCATCCTTGATGATTAAGATGGAATGCTTCGTTTCTAGTAAAAAGGGTCTTCACCCTCTAGGAATTTCTCCTGTATCGTGAGGGTAGTTAAGTGCTCGTACATAAATTATACAAGGACGAACAACCAGACCCGGAACAATTATTTGTTGGCCATACAAATACTTGTTCCTAGAAATTGCAAATACTACGCCACGGAACCGTCAAAACAGAATAACCTACAACATTTGTTTGAGCGAATGTTTTAAAAATATTAACATCTTCATCGTGATAAACAGTTATCAAAGTGAGGTGGATGTTTAAAAATAATGCAGTTATAAGACTGGTTTATCGCTATATTGTTATTTTATATACATCATGTTCAGGAACATACGAAGCAGATAAAGGAATGTATTTAAAACGCAAACAAGCCCACACTTTTTAACATGCTACCGGAAATACGAAGATGAAGTATACAATTAATTT